TTCATTATTTTCCTAGTGAAAAGGATTATTTCTGTCTTCTTGAGATTGATAGACAGTAAATGGTCCTTGCACCACTGTTCCATAATTGTTCTCAAAATTTCCTATTTGCAGAATGACCAGGTCATCTGCTTCCGCTATTGTGTAGTGACTGTCATTATTGTACCTACAGTACTTATTTCGTTATTAAAATAATCTATTTGACATAATGTACAATGTACATAGTTAGAATTTTCTGTCTGTCATTGTTACTTTAGTATGTGTTTTAATAATTATGAACCAAACGACAAAAACTGATTAATTTTTATACGTTTCCCAGTATATTAAGTTCCCTTGCTTTGGTACATATGAAAATTCATTCAGTTTCGCTTCTTGGGTAGGTATTCTTTGGCCAAATATCCGGCGTCCCTCTAGACGCAAGTCAGTACTACCGGTTAAGTAAGCAGCAAGCGATCATTGGTATCTCCATCTATGAACGCGGAACGAACTGCCAGGTCTGCGATGTAAAGACTAAAAATAACCATCTTAAAGATGTGTAACTTGTACACATTACTGTGCTGACCTGTATGCGATATTATTGTGATTTATAAAAATTAACATCGTATAAATGTTTGTCACAGGAAGTAACTAAAAAGAAGTACAAAAGATGTTTATGTAACTGCTAATTCAAGTATTGCAGCGTACATAAAACTTCATTTGTAGATATATGCGAGGAATGTTAATGAATATGATGTTAAACTTTAAACATCTATGGGATATTTTAGTATCGTTTCAAAAATATATCAAGAAAAGTCTCTATGAGAAACGTTACAAAAAAGACTGGTAATGTTTCATGTTTAGTGGGTTTGCTCAAGATTGGGATTGGCATAGGTGCCATTTGGTAAAGTACAATGTTGTTACATGCTTTTGGGGTAAATTTCATTTTGTTATCAGATAACGGTAAAAATTTGCAGTGGCTCTTGGGCTATTATGATTTGATTCTGTATACAAATCCGAGTTGCGCAAAGTATAAACTGGAACATTGAGATCAAAAGTGCCGAAGCAGAGTGAGCGATCTGATTCTTTAGTTATAAACGATGTCCGTGTTCCTCCACCAATATTTATATACACATTGAAAATTCTGGTGAAGATCTAGAATGCTCCCGCCAAAACTAGAAACATTATCACATCCGTTCTGGAAAGTAATCGAAAGTGCCTTCGCCATAGCCGTCACATATGTTTGGTCTTAAGGGGTTTAATTATGTATGATAATCAGACAAGTTGAGCCTCGAAGGCAGAGAGGGACTTGGAGGATTAGAGCATGACTGAATAATGAAATAACTCGCATTACAATAGATATTAATCAAAAGTAATCTAGTTACAAAATACTGTAATTTAATGATCTAATGATCAGTATACTCTGTAATATCATTACTCAAGCTATGGATTTCTGGAAGATCGTTAACATCATTTTAAACGAGCAAAGAGTCTATAAGGGACCCTCAAGAAAAACTCATTTACTTTTCTGAGTATGGTATTAAATTAACTGTTTTACTTAAATTCTATTTGATTGGCGCATCTATTAGCTTTCTATGAACTGGTACTTGACTTACCTGCCATATATTGTGACTAAAAACACTCTTTTCTAACGATTTTTTCAACAGTCCAGAGGATGAATCTCGTAAATTAACCATTCTTGCTTAAGTCTGCTAGCACGTTACTGTCATTAGCATTACAATAAAAGTAAAAGTAACTACAAGTATTAGAAATTAAAAATTTTAAAAAACCGACTTCAAAAACGTGCAGATGCTGTCACCACATCTTAATCAAATTTATATGGGACCGCCCCTGAGTTACCCCCTTAATAACAAAAAAAGAATCATATAAATCGGATAAGGTGGTAAAGCATTATCGCTAAACGTACATAAAAAATAAAGAGTTTGAGGATATTCTCATAGACCCAATTTATTAGATTTTGACTAAATTTATATGGGACCACCCCTGAAGTACCCCCTTTCTAACAAAAAAAGAATCATTGAAATCGGACACAGTGTTAAAGGATAATCGCTGAACATACATAAAAAAAAATATCGCGATGAATTGATAACCTACTCCTTTTTTGAAGTCGGTTAAAAACAGACTTGTACCTGCATCGGTACATAAAGAAATTATTATACATAACTTAAGTACTGAGTTTAGTAAATTGGAACTCGTATCAATAAGTATGACAAATCTTCCACGATATTTGCATATTACTCAGTGCTTACTATAAAAAGCTACTAATCTAGAATTCCGAAGGATTAATTAGTGAATAGTTATTTAAAAAAAAATGAGAAAACTATTTTTAGTTTCTAAGAATTTACAAGGATTGCAGTGATATTGTTATGCAGATTCTGGGAAGTAAAAGTACTGATTAATAAATCGTTTGTTGGATCTTTTAATTCAATGTAAAATCCAAATTAAAATATCGATTTTTTGCAAATGTACATAGGTACATATTTACAGCTCATGAAATAAAATTATTTTTGGCTATATTTTAGAAAATTACGAAAAATACTCTAAATGGCACTACGTCTATTAAAGTAAAATTTGAATATACAGGGTGATTCATGTATTTTTATATTTCTAAATTCCACTTCAGTCAAATTTTTTATACTTATAGGCAAAAGCAGGTGAAAAATAAATGTTTTCTACACCCACATGAATTGTGGGTGTACATGTACAGATTACAAAATGAAAAAGTATGCTATTGCCTTCAACTTTTTTTAGTTATTGAGATTAAACATACATTAAAATGGGTTATTTTTGTGTAGAATCGATAAATAATCGTAAATAATAGCATTTCTATTTTTATTTGAACCATATTTTGAAAAAAAATTAAATTTTAATCAAACTATATGAAACTATTTTAATTACGAGTATTAAAACCGAAATCATAAAAGCGGCCGTAGAGGCATGAACAGAGTACTTGACTTCCACGCGAAAAGCCGGGATCGATTCTCGGCTAGCGACTAATTCTTTTTTTTATATTTATTTTATTTTAAAAATCAGTAAAATTCATAAATTATTTTAAAATTAGTTATTTTGTCTTAATGACCTAAAATATTTTTCTAATTTGTAGATTTCCGTTAGTGGGTCGTAGAAAAAATATACTGTACAACTCGAATGGATTGCTCATATCGCATTCAGACCGTGCCCAAATTTCGTCTTCGTGCGATATGGCCATCATATCCACTCTTGTTGCACAAACTACCTTAAACTTTCGTGGTAAAATAAAGTACCGTATGAATCGAAATTTTGCGATTTTTAAACTCGATACAGGGACGGCCAAATTGTCAAAAACGGCAAGAAACAAAATTAATGAATTGCTGGACGGTCAAAAATGTAACATAAAAGCAAATTGGATATCATTTTAATTTAAATATTTAGGATCTAAAGCTGACTCCGGAAAAATAATTAAGTAATTAGCAACCAAAATTTTAAAATGCTTGCAAAATCACAGAATGCTCGCTAATATACTATGATTTTGCAAGCATTGGTATTAATAATTTGGTTACCAAATGAGATTAAATAATGTTAATTAACAGCAATTAACTACCTACTTTGCCGGAGTAAAAAGTGGCTGCAAATTCAGCTCCAGATCATAAATATTTAATTGAAAATGATATCAAATTTGCAGCAATGTTACATTTTTGACCGTACGTAATTTTCAACACGAAAAATCTATCTTAATGTGTTGAGCAAGGTATAATAAGAATATGCACATATCAGGCAGACCGCTGGAAGGGAATGCCGTATACCTACCTAGGTACTTTTAGTGTTAAAAATTCCGCACATGTGTGTAGAAAGCATCAATTTATCTGCTACGGTGGTCATCAAATATTATTTTAAAATTATTCTCTGATTTTTCATTAATTTACCTAATTAAAATTAATTACCATTTCAAATTCACCGATTTTCTACACCGAAAATTGCTAAATTGACATCGAAAATACATTTGTATTCTGACAATTGGGATATTTGTACGATAAATACCTATTGCTAATGTGTCACTTCTCCTCAAACCCCTATGAACGGAATAATGCTCGAGGATATACCTATGTTTCCTTCCCTAAACTTTTGTATTGATAATGATAACCAGTTTTCCCAATACAAAAATAGAGAAAGGTAGGTATATGTAGTACCTACATTTTGTACCTATAGTGTCTTTACGCAATTTTTAAAAATATCTCAAAAAATTATTTTTATGTCCTTTTTAAATCACCTATTTTATTCTAGAAAACTCTGTGTTTGCACATTTTATTTATTAAAAATAATTAATGTAAATAGATTGTATAGGTACCTACCTATGTTTAATGGGTAATAAAGAGTTTTCAAGGTTTAAAAACACAATTACAACAAAGTTTTTTCAGTTTAAGATGCTCATAGGTAATGTAACTGTGAAGCACTTAAGTTTAATAATTATTAGTTTAAATATCATATATTTATTTAGGTATATACCTATGTGCTACGTTCAATTATTATCAATTTACTTTATTTACTGTTAAAAACCTATAATATAGGCGAGTACACCACTGTAATAAAATACATCTGTTACCTATTATTTATAGATGGATTAATTATGAATTTCTAATAAAAGGAAAATTACAAAATAAAATAATTACTAGCTGAAGAAATTACAAATTACTGAGAATTCTCAGAGTAGATGCTTCAAACATTTTAATAAAAAAAAGAAAGTTAGTTGGTTATCGATTATAATAACTTAAGACTTTTTACTATCTATTTAACATGTTATTAAGGATTTCAATACATTAGAATTAATGAAACCTTGTAGAATTACTCCAAAACCACCAACCATAACAATAAATCTAAAAAGAACAGCAGGTTGATGTACGTAACTTATAAGTAGCTATCTATGCAATAAAACGAATTTTAACTAGGTATATTTTAAGATCTACTTGTAAATTCCTAAACCAAGTTCAAACGATATTTACTGAATAAATTAGAAACATATTTTTACTTACCTTGATACAGTACAGGTAAAAATACCTTTGCAATTAACCTAACTGGTAACTTCAACCACTAATTTTCTTAAAAAAAAAACTAATTATATTCGTTTAACAATAAACCGTTTTTAAATACACAGCCACATATTTGATTTTATTTTGGTTTATATCAAAAAACTAAAGAAACCATAACGAAACACACCTGACGTCCGTGCTTTAACGAAGCCAGGAGAAACTATTTCTTCGAAACGTTTGTGCAACGTTGCCAAGTGCAACCAAGTAACCGTGTACCGTTGAATTTCAAGTGAAATTATTACCTGAAACTTATAATTTGATGTGAAATCGCCGTAATGAAGCATGATTTATTATTATTTAATAATAGCTAATGAGGGGTCCGGGACGCTTTAGGTACGTCATACACTAAAACGTACTCATTTTATATAGAAAAGTTAATAAAAATTCCAGATAACCGACCATTTTCTGAGAAAAATTGAATCTAATTGAATTTTTAAATGCGACTCTACGTTTCGAAATGTATAATGGAATAAAAAGCACGTTTAGAAAGCACCTGTGACCTTTAAATCCCATATAAACTCTTTTCTTGAAGTTGTGTCAACAGACCGACAGTGATTCGGAATTTATTCAATGATACCTTTTTTATCTGTATCGGTTATAAGCAGGTAGGATTAGATTTAGCTCAGCGCATTGGGACCTCTTGGGTCTATTGTATTCCCCTTTCCTCGTATTCAGGTACTATCTTTGAATAGGCATGTGCTTTTGGTTAGTTTTACAAGGTTCTCAATAACCATTTGTTCTTGGGGCGTTCTTGCCGGTTCTAGTCCAAAAAATATGAGTCACCGCCTAGCAAGAGCTTCGTATTCGAAGATAAAATGCATTGTATAAGGGTTCTTCCTCTTTCATGCAGAGTCTACACGTAGTGGGATCATTGTGTTTTAGCAAGCAGTGTCTCGTAATTCCACAATGTTGGATATCTGAAGCCTTAATGCGAGCTGTAGTACCTCAGAAGCTATCCGTGGGATTGGTCTCCTTTTAGTATCTGTTGCCAGTGAGTTGAGTGTTTATCCACTTGTTCACTGCCTATCGAGCAGAGGTTTTGCTTATCCCAAATACAGGTTCAAATTCTGTGAATGGTAGTTCTGGTCCCTCTTTGTCGAGTGCATTAACCTTTTTCATTTCCTTGGATACCTTTTGTGTCCTGTATAAACGCTAATCTTATCTAAACGAGGGTTGGCAGATCATTGTAAATATTCCAGACAGGTTCCAGACCAGCTTTGACTTGTTTCTGTTTGAACTAAGGGCCCTTATAAGGCTGCTTGGCTGTCTGAGAAAAAAGGTAAGGTGAATGATGTGTATTTCATTCTCCCGGTTAAGAGTGGGCCGCTATAGGCTTTTCTAGCCTATTCAGCTTCACGAGAGGCATCAGGGATATAGTCCAAGGGGATGAGGTGGAATGAATCTGACATATTACTGACCCAGGTATTTGCCTATTGCTATGAGTAAACCTCTGAAAAATCAACAGCGGACAAGGCTGTAGTAGAGCTGGGCTAGAACCCACGACTTTCCGAATGCGAGGCAAATGCGTTACCGCAAAGCCACCTCGATCGGTGCCAAATAATTAAAATGGTTTATTTTTTGTACGTTTCTTAAATTATCTCGTACACACACTCAAATTCATGCATTTCAGCCTGAAATACAGTGGTATATATTTTCCCAGTGAGACGGCGATATCGTATTTGGGTTTAACTTTGTATTCGCCAGAGCCTGTTATCTTATTAGTTTTAAATTCATCTGTATACCATACCAGATCCATAAGCAAGGATTTCTCTCTCTCCTCTGATTTACATCGTTTTAGTTGCACTCGACCTGGAAGAATCTGTTGGAGGTTAGGCGGGTGTCATGCGTTATCTGATCCCATATTTAATATATAGGATCATTTACCAAATGTATTATTCTTCAAAACGACATATTAAACAATGTTGGTCGGCTTAAAGTAGGCGAGATATGGTTTGAATACATATTTTTTCTATACCCACATGGATATTAGCTTATCTACGCATAGATTACAAAACAAAAAAGTATGCTATTGCCTTCAACTGAACGAATATATTTCATATCCATTCTAGATAGTGAGAACACTGCAAAAAATAAAATCCACCAATCACCGTTCGTATTTTGATCAACAGACTACTATTATTTTTAAAATTTTATATAAGTGACAATTCTGTCAAACTAATTGTCAGTATATTTTTTAGTTCTTGAGATTAAACATATATTAAAATGGGTTATTCTTGTATAAAATCGATAAATAATAGCATTTATGTTTTTATTTCGTCTATAATTATAAATAATTTGTTAATTTAAATAAAACTATATGAAGTCAATTTAATTACGAGTATTAAAGCTACACAAATAAAAGAATAGGTAGTCCTGAGGTTAGCGTTCTTGCCTTCCACACTGAAGACTAGAGTTCGATTCTTTGATGGGGAAAAATGAAATCAACTTTTTTTTTTGTTTATTTTATTTTAAAAATAATTAAAAGTCATAAATTATTTTAAAACTAGTTATTTTGTCTTAATAACCTAAAATATATTTTTTTTTGTAAATTTTCGTTAGTGGGTCCTAGAAAAAATATTCTGTACAACTCGAGTGGATTGACCACATCGCACTCAGACGATTGAGCACTCCGCCTACGGCGTCGTACTCAAAATTTTGTCTTCGTGCGATATGGCCATCATATCCACTCTTGTTGCACAAATTACTATTTTTTAATCACACAATTTACCGAATACCGATATTGAAATTAAATATATCGGCAACCGTTTGAGCTAGCATGCGCATATGCTACATTTTTCAGTTAAAGCTGACTTAACTCATTTAATTGGAACAAAGTTTGTTTTTCTGATCGATTTATTCTACAATTTATTAATTTGGATGCAATTATATCAATTGATTCTAATTGGTTATTAAAATAAATAAAACGAATAATTAAATATAGATACAAGTTTCAATTTTCCTTCAGAAAAAAAAAAGAAAGTACCCTGATAGGATAGTACCGCTTAAAATAATTATTCGACCAAGGCAAAAATAATTACTACGGGTATTAAGTACCTATACTCTGTATTTAATATGGTACCAATTAAAGTATTAAAGCATCATCTCTAAATTAATTTTAATATCTATAATGTAACTGGTAAAGATGATTTTTTTATTGTAAATTACTATGTAATCTCGTAAAATGTGCATATCTCATTTTGTTCAATTTGTACATGGTAGTTAAATGTTTACAAAATTTCCCGAATCTTGTAAAACATCGAAAACCTGGCAATGCCGCCTGGTGATCTTAAATATCAAATAACAACACACCTCCTAATAAGAAAGACGATATGCATCCGAAGGAGATAGAGCTAAAATGTGTTTGCCGAGTTTATTTACATCCTGTGCGCAGGTTGAATTTTTGCAATTCACCTGTATAATTTACGGGGTAGGGCTTGAAAAGGTATCGGTGATTAATCGCCGGAACAGGGGGAAGTGGGGTATAAACAGTATATGTATAAGAGGATGTCTCACGCATGGAGGAAGGATGTCTCACGGTTAAAAAACAATGGGAATATCATTTTATTACTGGTTATATTTTGAAAATTCTCACGATCGTTATTTAACTTCAAATTGATGCTTCTTCAACCCTATCTTTAAAGGTTAAAAGTCCATAGGCACTCTAATAATTTTATGTATAATAAAACCAAGTCGATTTTTGTTTCCTTTCTAGGTACCTATTCATTTTAGAATCAAGTTAAAACACAAAATTTTATTTAAAATCTTCATTTATCAAGTAGGTATAATTATTCCAGTAATGTTTATTTAAATATTTGACTAATTTCGTTGACTATCTATAGCATTTTTCGCAAGAATTTCATTGATTTAAAGAAAGATAGTGTGAAATACGTGTCAACATACCAAACAACTGCTAAAGTTTATAATACGTATATAGGTAGGTATAAATATACATAAAAATGTATTTGCAAAACAATGTTTATTATTAAATGGCTTTTGTATTCTTCGAATTAGCCCATTCTTCGATGATAAATAATTTTTTTTTCTACACCCACAAGCACAGATTAAAAAACGAAAAAGTATGCTATTGCCTTCAACTGAACGAATATATTTCATATCCATTCTAGATAGTGAGAACACTGCAAAAAAAGGAAATCCACCAATCACCGTTCATATTTTGATCAACCGACTGGTATTATTTTTAAAATTTTAAATAAGTGACAATTCTGTCAAACTAATTGTCAGTATATTTTTTATTTATTAGGCATTCCAAACTGAATGGCTACCAGTGGGTTTTGACGGGTTATGATATGGCGAAATTATGGCAACCCTGTAGGCCTGGTGATTTGACAAGGTCAACGAAATAGATAGTTACATAGATTGATCATCCATATTTTTCAAAATAAACATAAGCTTATGCCTTGAAGTAAAAATGTAAGCAATTATTTTTTTTTAAATATCTAAAGGCTAAAAATTGGTTTTAAAACACATTTTTGCTAGACCGATTCAAATTAATAAATATTTGCCAGGCAATATGGCCGCTCGTAAACGACCAGCTTTGAGCAATCTATATAACTATATATGTATCATTGACCCTGTTAATGACAACATGACAACAGGGTTGCCATATCTAAACTGTCATTACCCACTGGTAGCCATTTGGACAGGTCGTTGGAATGCCTAATTGAGATTAAACATACATTGAAATGGCTTATTCTTGTGCATGTATAAATATAAATAATTTGTGAATTTTAATTAAAACTATATGAAGTCAATTTAATTACGAGCAGTATTAGAGCAAAAAAAAGCGCGTATCTGGTCCTGTGGTCAGCGTTCTTGCTATTCAAACGGAAGACTCGAGTTCGAATCTCGGATGGAGAAAAATAAAATGAATTTTTTTTTCTTGTTTATTTTATTTTATTTTATAAATTAGTAAAAGTTATAAATTATTTTTAAATTAATTACTTTTTCTTAATAACCTAATAGTATTTTATTTAACGAGCGGTACTGCAGGTCATAACTCACGCAGATGAAGTTTGCAGCACGAGCCGCAGGAGAGTGCTGTAATTCATCAAGTGAGTTATGACCATTACTGCAAGTTGAATACTATACTTTATCTACGACTATAACAATAAATACTAAAAGTACATTTTCTGTAAACGAGTTAACGTTCTTATTGCTACACCAATCTTGAAAATTTTTGT